CTGCTCAGCACTATTTAGGATGTACATCAGTTTTAATATTTATTTTCCATGTCACTTAGATAGTTTCTGTAGGCAAGTTAGCATTAGACTTATTAGCTTAGCAAGTTATATAAGAGATATTATCGCTTTCTTTATATATAAATTTCAAACAATTTTATGATAAATAAAGTGATGATATTTACCTACTTAAAAAAAAAAAATAAAATAAAAATTAATAGTTTTTTTATATTAATAATTTGAATATTAAAGAAGTTATAAACAAAAAAAGAAAGTTTAAAACAATATATCCTGCCATATGATACTAAGCAGCTATAAATACTTATTCAATATTAATCATATAGTTACTATAGACAAGCTAGTATTTAATTTATTGTATTAATATATAAGAGTTATTGTTTTTCATAATATATACCTTGTTATATACAAATCAAATAAAAAAGTGATGTTTACCTATAAAAATAAATTGAAATAAAATATTGTAAATTGTCTTTATATTGAGATAAAAAAAATATTGTTATTAGAATAAAAAATAAGATTAAAAGAGTTTAAAATCTAACTAATTTTGATTAATACCATTAGATATATTAGATATATTTTCTATACAAATCTTATATCTTGAATAGTATAAATTCAAATACTAATCGAATAAAGTTAATAAAGATACAAGTAGAAAGCATTTTTAATATGAGTTTTAAAAAATTTGTGGATCTATAGTGTAATGGTTAACACTCTACAGGTCAAATTACAAGATATCAGTTTAATCCCATGTAAAAGCAATTGAATAGAATTAATATAGTATCTGGTATCATAACCTGTAAAAGTGCTGTTTCTTATGAAAAGCCATTTCACATGCTGATTCAGCAAGCGTTAAGATTGCAATTTCCAGAAAAGGCATTGTGGCATGACAATTGTCTGGTTGGTATTATGAGGATTGTCAGAAGTTGCAAGGTGTATGAGATGTCTGCTTTCAGTAAGATGGCTTGGTGATTATTCCCTGTGATACCTGATGTCTCTTTTTATGATATAATCAGAAGGGTCTTATTCCAATCCAGTAATAGATTACTTCGACAGTTACTTATCCTAGAAAGGCAGTCAAAACAACAGTAAGGCCACTAGAATTACTATATATGGACAATAAGTCTATGAGATAAGTCCCTTGAACATTTTTGGATGGCTCAAGGAGGAATGAAAATTAAATGGTGCGCCCATCTGCAGGTGGTCGGATCTGAAAAATTATTCCTATAGTGTTCTATTTGCCAAAATATAAGTACTACCTCCAGTGTTCCAATTTCAACTTCCTCTTAATTTTCCACAGTGCTAAATAGAACACCTAGCAACAGCAGTGTTAAATACTAAGGTAAGACTTGGTTAGCAAGCAATGTGGCGGTGGATTCTAATTTATATAAGAATTTAGTATAGATTAACAATGTATATACCTTGTATGTAATGACCTATCTATATAATAAATATGGACTAGAGTAAAGTCTCACTTTAGCAGTTTAAAAAAAAAAAAAAAAAAAATAAGAATTTTAAAAATCAAATATTTTTTTAAAATTTATAAACTTTATTATAAAACTTTTTATTGTAAGTTATTGAAATTATTAAAAAACATATTAGTCAAAAATTTATTATTAAAAAATAAAAGAAAGAAATAATTTAATTATCTCAAATAATATGAACAAATACGTAATTAAAACCATTTATTTCTAAGAATCTCAATTTATTTGTATCTATTTTTCAAACACAAAATTCACCACCTTGCCACCGCCAACATGTACAATCTTTTTAACCTTCCTTTCTTTACCTTCAGCATCGAAGAACCATTTTTTACTGTTTTCAGAATTCTGGATTATCGACTCTATGGATGGATTATCATGTAAAATTGTTGTTGGCAATTTCACCGTAAATCTCGTCTTTCCATTAATCTATTAATAATCGATGAAGTCAGTAAATTTACTTTTCAATATTAGATCTTTACGAAGGATTTATAAGTCAATTCACCTGAACAACACAAGTAACTTCTTCAACGCTTAGGCCTTTTTCATCAACTTTTGGCCAAGGTTCATTAAATATCGTATTGCCAAGATTATCAATGTTAGCATCATTTCCTAACTGATGATCGAGATACTGCATTTTGTTTAAAATTTCCCAAAATTCTTCGCCAAAGCTTGGAGCCATCGGCGCAAGCATTTTAATCAACGCTCTTACACCATATTCGTATAAATAAGGAGAAATTATCACATTAGTAGGTTCGATGACTGGTTTCTCCCGAGGGGCAGCCTCGTTCAAATTCGGAGATATGCTTGTAAGATGATTTGTCAATTTGATCAATGATGAGATTGCGGTGTTGAATGAATAACTTTCCTCAAGTACAGTTGTCACCTAATGAAATAACATGAATCATGCAAAAATTGATGAGAGATCCACGAGAGTACTTTTTAATTAAAATCGAAACCACACTCACCTCTTTAATTGTGACGTTTATGATCCTATATGTTTCCTTTTCCTCTTTGTTCATCGAATCCAAATTATCGATTACATTTGGATCAACTGACTTTAAGCCATTTTCAACAACATTTTCAACAAGCCTTCCTACCCTCGAAATCCACCTTTGCATACCCACAATACTCATCTCTTCCCATTCAAGCACCTCCGATGCCGGTGCTTTAAAAAGCATATGTAATCTCGTAGCATCGGCGCCATAACTATTTATTGTTGTCTATTATGATAACATTAAAAAAGATAATATAAAATAATGAATATTTTTGCAGAATCTTTTTAGAGATACAGTTATCTAAGGCCAACATATACTTCTGGGTCAACACCGTTATACTTGCTTTTGGACATTTTCTCAAACGAAATTATCGGTTTAAGACCAGTTGAAATTTGAACCGGGTTGTTAGGGTCTAAAAATGGAATCCTTTTTCTATCATAAACACATACCTACATGAACGCGTACAATAATATTATTACTATCCCATTCCATTTACCGGTTAGGTCAACTTCCATAGGTTTCAGGAATCTTCCTGTTTTAGGGTCTTTAAAAGTTTTTCCATGAACCATACCCTGTTTATCAATTACAAATACAACTTAAAGAATGACGCGCATTTGTTACAAGATGCTCATGCTTCACAATACGTACCTGGGTTATTAGTTGCTTAAATGGTTCATTCTTATTTTCCATATTGGAGCCGTTTTTAAAGGAAAACATGTCATGTTTGGACATGAATTTCGCAAAGAATCGAGAATACAGTAAATGCAAAATCGCATGTTCAATACCACCGACATATATATCGACTGGAAGCAATTCTGATGCATTCCGTGAACTGAACGGCCTATATAGAAATCCAAGAGTTTCATTATATCATCCGTCCACATTGGACCCAATCAATAATACGATTAACTCACAGCAAAGTGTTTTTGGGATCAGTATATCGCATGAAATACCAAGAAGAGTCAACAAATGTATCCATTGTATCAGTGTCTCTCCGTGCAGGACCTTGACATCTAATGATTTATGTTTAATGATTAATAATTGATTGGACTTAGATTGGGATTCACGTTACTACTTACTTGGGACATTTACAATTTAGCCAATCATGAGCTTGTTTCAAGGGAGAACCATTTCGGTAGGTGAAAGATACGTCGTTAGGCAAAATTACTGGAAGATCGGACTCGGGAACGGGAACAACCTAAAATTCATGATTTATTATTAGATCAAAAAAAAAAGAAAAGAAAAGAAAAGAAAAAAGCAGTTTTATAAAACCTACATCACATTTTGGACAATGTATAATTGGGATGGGAGCACCCCAATAACGTTGTCGAGAGATTAACCAATCCCTAAGGCGATACTGAAAAAGTGGGCGCTCCGTAAATATGTTGGCTGAATAATAAAACCGAGGAATTCCTATTTTGAGTTTACCTGTACAGACCAACGACCGTAACCAGCTTTTTGCGCGTCGTTAACAATATTTTTCATCGCTTCTTTACTAGACATGCCAGCATATTTTCCACAATCCTTTGTCAGAATTCCTAGTGACGTGTAGACCTCGTTGTTTGAAGATTCATCTGTTATACGACGAAAAACATTAGTTAATTCTAAGCGTTTTTAAGAAAATCAACAGGATAATTTAATTCACCTTGCTCGGCAGGCTCAACGACCCTCTTTATATCTTTTTTGCTGACCAGCAAGTTCTGTTTGAAAAATTTCTGGTCGCGTTCATCATGAGCTGGTACGCCCATCAATGCACCTGTACCATAATCTGAAATCACGTAGGGCGCGATAAATATGGGTATCGAAGAACCGGTAATTGGGTGTGTCGCATAAATTCCTGTGTTGATTCCTAATATAATATGGCATTGTTAATCGCCGAGAAAAATCCATAAAATTCGGGACTCAAGTTTCCAAAGTTTCTAGGTGGTCCATATTTACCTTTTTCGACTTTTTCGTCCACAGATTCCAATAAATTGGAAAGCGTCTCCTGCGGTAGGAATCTAAACTAAAGTGAATTATACACTTAAAGAGCTATCTGAAAAGTAAGTATGGTTTCAATGGGATGCGTACTCTTTTGACACGAGTGGGTGATCCATGGACACTGCAAGGTATTGAACACCAAAGATCGTATCGGGCCTACTGGTAAAAACTTTGATCGTATACGGAGATCCATGTGAACTTGAATTCTAGAAAGCAGGATTGCATTCAAACTTTATATGCGTTTTCAAATTGGAAACTCTCATCATTGAATTAATATACACACCACCACAAAATCAAATTCAGCACCTGTGGATTTTCCGATCCAAAACCTTTGCATTTGTTTGACACGATCCGGCCACTTGTCTAATGTGTCAAGGTCATTCAATAAGGGCTTTGAAAAAAAATTCGGTGAGTATAAGTGAAAATCACGTGAATTTAGTTAATGAACCTCAAAGAAAATGAGAAATTTACTTCTACGTAGTCAGTAATTTTCAAGAACCACTGCTTTAGTTTCCTACGTTCGACCTTAGCACCCGATCTCCACGAGCGTCCTTCGGAATCTACCTTTGGTATGGGAATGGATAGTTTGAGAAAAAAAGGCAATTCTGAAAAATCCAATTATTATAAAAGATTTCTAATACTTGTTCATTGGCCAACACTGTTCGATCAATTGGATCCCAATTGACAACCGCTTCTTTTTGATAAGCCAGACCGGCTTTATACATTTGAAGAAAAAGATACTGAGTCCACTTGTAATATTCTGGGTAACAAGTTGTCACTTCCTATATGGATAGTAAGATGTATGATTATGACTTTTATCATAAAGGTTTAAGAATTTGAACTTGGTTCACCTACAAACCCTATCCCAATCAAAATCGGTCAGTATTCTTTCCATCTGTTGTTTCATCGAGGCGATGTTAGATGCAGTCCAATCGGCCGGATGGATATCGCGCTCTATAGCAGCATTTTCGGCGGGAAGGCCGAAAGCATCCCAACCCATCGGATGAATCACCTTTTATGTACAATCAAGACATACGTGATATGAATTTGAATAAATTTTACTTAAGATGCCCCCTTTTTATTTTAAAGAAGAAGAAAAAAAAAAGGAATATCTATAAGGTACATCATATCCCAGCATTCTCCGAAACCTCGCTATGGTATCACTGATGGTATATACCCTGACGTGTCCCATATGTAACATTCCGCTGGGATAGGGGAACATTGCCAAAACGTAAAATTTTTTTTTCTCCTTATTTCTCCGAGTTTTTAAGATGCCTCCTAAATTTTTCCACCTGCCTATCCATTTACGCTCAATCTCCTCAAAATTTAAGTTATTTGAAGTGGAATAAGATAATTTCTGCCTGTAAAAGTTACACTCGTGACGAAAGCTATTGATAATTCTTAACATCTTATTTAACGCGTAAATCATTAATCCGCAGATGAGATTATGAATTTTATCGATAAGATCGATTTTCCAATTTGATATCACATGACCTACCGGGATAATTTCTAATCTTTTGTCCGTGGCAAATATCTCAACTATATATAACTATATTTATTTCTTTTTTTTTTTCGAAAAAAAAAAAAAAGTTTGGTCAATTCTCCGATTTTGGGATATTGTATCTACCAATTTGAACCGGTCCCTGAAAAAAATAATGACAGGACTGGTATATCCGTCATCGGTCATGGTCATCCTCAAAGGGATGCAGGGAACAGGGATCCCGCAATATATTCACTATGCCGGAGTTTGGGAATTGCGTCACGGTACATTATCTAAAGGGTGAAACTGAATGTGATCACGCAAAATGACGAAGGAAATTGATTGGCATTTTTTTCTGGATTTCCCCGCGAGATCTGATCACATGAACCATCAGATCTGGTCAAATTTTTCAATTTGACTTCCATAATTGCTATCTGATCTTAAGTGAAAAAGAGAATTAAGATTTCGTTGCACAGGATGTTACCTAGCCAAACACCAAATACCGATAAGAATCTTGTGTTTTAATGAATCATTGTTTTTGTTTTATGTTGTTGTTGACTCATAATATGACATGGAAATAAACAGTAACCATTTATTTTTCAATTCTTTGACACGCCAATAATAGTTGGTTGACTAATTATGATTCTTCGGCAAATTTCATTAATCCACATGCATTTCATGCTTAAAAGGTAAATCTAAATATTATCATCAATTTTACAATACCGATATCATCTTTCGTACCAATCGATTGCAGATAAGATATACTATATTTGTGCAGGAAGTAAATAGCGTGGCGCAATGAAATAGTGTAATCACTCTAACCAATAAAATATTAATATCATATCTTTCACCTTGATTCAAAAATCAATATAAGCCAGCTTTTTTTTTCATTTCCCTCAAATTTTTTTGCGGTTTCGAAAAAAAATAAAATTACAAAATCATGCAATCAAGAAATACCATTCATGTAGCTGGGGCCGACGGTGAACTCGGTATGACAAAATCTACGTGTTTTTTTTTTTTTTGGAGAACATAATAAAATTTTCATTTGCTCACGTACATTTCTTTATAAAGGTGCTTCAATTGCCAGAGGACTCTTGGAAATGAAAAATCTTCATCCAAATCTTTATAACATTTCGATACATGCTGGGATACACCACAAGACGATAAAAACATCAAACATGTTGACGGAGAGGAATGATGTGTCGATTGTAGAAGTTGATCCCATAAATCAATCAGAATTGGTCGTGGATTCTTTAAAAAAGGCGTCGAAATTACTCCTACTGGTAGATCCTTTAAGTGGTGAAGTAACAAGAAAGGATGCGCTTGCTTTTGCAAAGGGGTACGTGTCTTTTTTGCGGGATTTCACAATCTCTTATAATCGCTTATGTTTTTCAAATCGCGTAACCACCTTTTTTTTTTATCAGGTATATAAATGCAGCAAAGGAAGCTGGCGTTGAACATATCGTTTTCCCTACGCCCTTTGCAAAACTTATTGTCCCATGTTCACCACCATTGACGCCAACCGATGAAACTGACAAGAACGGAGACATGGAATGTATCAGCCCCTATCGAGATCAATTTGAATCCATTGAATTACTACTTCGAGAAAACTTTCAGCCATCACAGGTCACCATTCTTAGATATCCTGGAGTGTTGAATCAACATTTTCTCTACTTCGCACGTTACATCTCTGAGGAATCCAAAATACCACTGATCGACAACCCTCATGTAATCTTCGAATGCTGCGATGTTAGTGATGTGGTGCGAGCGATATGTCACATCCTTTACAGTCCGGTACAAAGACACGGTGGCAAGGAATACAAGATAACGGGTCCACATCTGCTGACAAATAACGAAATTTCGGCCAAGGCTTCGTTGGCTCTCGGCCGTGAAATACGTACCGACTTTTTACCAATTAAACAATTACGACAAGCTTTCCTGGACGTAACACACGATAAGGAAGAAGTTGCTTATCTGTTGGATCTATGGGGGCTACAGGGTCAAATTGGTGCTGCGCGAAAAGTGCAAGTGACACGAGATCTGGAGATGATCACCGGTGGTACTGGAATGGGTTTGAGAAAGTTTTTCGAAAAAAATCGTTCTACCTTCAGCACTGACATTTGAAATTTCTGCGAAATTCGCGGATATGAGAATGGTGGACAAGGTGACAAATCAATATAAATATATAAATATACATACATATAATATATATATATATATATAATATATAGAATTCTTTTTTTTTTGAAATTATGACGGACTCTGTTTTTCTTTACATTCATAGCAAAATCATACAAGCCTACAAAAAATTAGTTTCTTATTAATAATGTACAAATCAGGATCACTTAAGTTTTACTTTATCCTATCATACAACTTCAAAATATTGCCAAATTACATTAAAACACGATTATCCTTTTTATGACTTATAATACCAATTGAATTATCGGTTTAAATCATTCTGTTTGATGATTGAAAATAAAATTTCTTACTAGTGTTAACACTATCCTGTACATGGAGGAGATTCTACCATATTTGTATTTTTTTACCTCGCAAATAATAAAAACAATTGATTGTTGTACAATTGTTATTAACAATTTATCAATATTGCCATTAATGTACGATATAATTATGGTAAATATTTGTTTCTTAATGACATGAGTCTAAGCAAATTATGAATTTATTGATGCGTTGTATATTCGTCTTTGTTTTACAATAATATTTATTCAACAAAATAATATACGTTTATTTCCGTATATTGAATGAAGTTAGTATGAAAACTTTTATCCTACTTCACAGTCAGTATACTGTATACTGTATATATACTATAAATAAAATTTCATATGTTAATTAACTTTTAACAATTTGTTTATACGCATAAATGATTTCAATATAGAGTATTGGTATTGAAAAATAATCATGATCGATCTTACAGTCATTCACCATCATAAATTCCTATGAACTGGTATTACAAATCTGGTAGACTGCATAAATTTCATATCTAGTATTACGCATGTACTATTTTATTTTTTGTTTAATCAAATCAAACATTTACAGATTAAATTAACATAAATGATATACCGTAAATGATACAGTATATCGTAAATGAATAAATATGTGATTTGATCAATTAAAATTTAAAAGTTTTTAATAAATTTTATATATACGTAATTAATCACTTATTTTTATAATCAATATTTTTGATATAAAAAAAATTATATATTTTAAATATTTAAAACATTTATAATTTCAAATTTAAATTTATTCTTAATTTATTTTATAATAGCTTAAATAAAAAGTCATTTGATTTTTTCAATAAATACTTATAATATGTTTTAATTTTATTTGTTAAAATAATATTATAACGAATAATTACAGTATATTTAAAAAAATATATAAATTATAGATTTAAATAATTTATTATATTAAATGTTTACAATTTGAATGTTAAACTTTTTTTCTTTTTTTTTTTTACAATAAATTTATTTTTTATTTCATTAATTGATTTTTTAAATACATTTAAGATACATATGTAATTTTAATAAAAAAAATTTGTAAAACTGATTTTTAATTAATAATATATTTTTTTTTATATATAAATTAATAATGTTATATTTTATAATAATCATATCATATAAAACAAAATTTATTTAAATAAAATTTTATTTAATAAATAAAATCAATAATGGTAATAAAATTTAATATCTACAATGATAAAAATACTTCAAATACAAAATTATGCAAATCTTATTTTGTGTTTGTGTAATGTATGTAATCATATAATATTTAGACATCAGATATGTCACTTTGTCCCGACATGTCATATAATGGAATTCGCTTTCAACAAGATTTTGATAAATGGACAAGTGGAGATAAAAAAATTGACGAATTTATACAAAAGT